ATAGTCAAATTAAAAATTAGTAAGGGGGCTGGAGAGATGGCTCAGTGGTCTAAAGCACCTACTTGGAACAAGCTTGGCAAAGCACAGGGACCGCGATTCAATCCCCCAGCACCGCATGCCAGCCAGCCCCGCCCCCAGGTGGGCTGAGCTGGCCCCCCCACACTAAATGAATAAATAAATAATTAAAAAAATTAGTAAGACTGGACTGGGGGGCTGGGGAGATAATACAGTAGCATAAGCGCCTGCCTGGCAAGTGCGAAGTCCTGAGTCCAATACCCAGTACCAAGAAAAAAAAAAAAAAAAGGACTGGAATGGGGAGAGGGGAAACAGAGCATTATAACAAGCAAGCAGTTTCCACTGAGATGCACAAGCTCCAGACATCTGTTGTATGACCTCGTTCCTGTACCTGCAGTCAACCCATCCTCCTGACCTCATTTAACCAATCACCTCCAAATGCCATCATGGGGCTGGGCTTCGATGTGTGAATCTGGGGGAAGCCATCTACTTCATACCCTGAAGGACCTAATGATTAACAGTTACCGGGGAAGGAGTCAGTCGGGGAAGGAGTCAGTCATGGGTGGTATTAATTGCACTTTTCTAAAATTTTAGAATTTCCCTTATAATCAGAGAAAAAATAAGTCCAAGGTTGCACAGGCCCAAGTGCTCACGTAGTATAATGGCAAGGACTTGGGGAGAAGTGAGACCTTCACACACAGCATGGCTTGCACAGAGGACCTCAATTTTGGGGTGTGGGGCCAGGAACATCCTAAAGTCCTTGTGAGTGCCACATTGATGCACAGTCTTCATGGGTATCTGATCTGTGTCCTCCTATTTGGTAGCACCAGCTGGAGGCCAAGAGAGGAGATCGTAAATGAGGGCCCCACCCTGGAGAACTTTTCAGACAGCCCAGAGATAGGGCAGGAGTGGGGTGACCTCGGCGAAGTCATTGCTCGCGGTGCACAGAGCTGCTGCCCTCTTGAGCCTCTTCCTGAGGCAAATCAGTGAGTCCCTGGCAAGTAACCCTCTGCAGAAGATTCTGGCAGCAGGTGACCATGCACAGCTTGGTGGCTGGAAACCAGCAAGCTGTCCAGGAGCCATGAAGCAAAGGTCCCAGTGCTTGGCAGTGAATGATGTGGCTGAGCTGACTCTGCAGGGGAGGGGAGGAGGTTTGAGGTTGGCAGGGAGGGTGGGGAGAGAGGTCAAGACCCAACAGGCAGAGTGGGTGCAATCCTGGTATGGGATCCAGGCCCTAGTGGAAGCGACCCTGGACTATTCCTAAGAGATGCCAATCCTAATCCTGATTTGGAGGCTTGGGAGAGATCTTTCTCCACTCTCCAGGTTTCCTGCTCACTGCTAACTGAAAGATTCCAGGTGACACTTTGCTTCCCTTACCAGTGTGCAAGCTCTGGAGGACGAGGCCCATGCTGCTTCCTAGGGCGGCTGCAAAGAAGGGCACCAGCTCCACCCACCTCCGCAGCTCAGCCCTGAGCATCCTCCACTCTCTCTGGAGCCATCAGCCCATACCCACCCTCCCTAACACGGGTGAGGAAATCAGAACAGTGCCTGGCCTGGAGCAACCTAATCACCACTATTTCCTCTTTCTTTTCTTTTCTTATACTGACAATTATTATGCCATTTGTCACAATGTTTTCAAAATCGCAAACATCACAAATGAAGTTTTTGGTGCCCCAATCCCAGAACCTGGGACTTACTGAGTATGAACAGCCAACTGCCATCACTTAAATCCTGCAAGCTGGCTCCTTTGGAAGACGGGAAATATTAGAAACAAAAACTGCATGGACAGGCTTGTCACTGGATCCTAGAGGTGGCAGGAATAAAGCTACAGCTCTTGGGCTTGGGAGACGGCTTAGTAGAATTAGCGCTTCCCTGGCAAACCCAAGGACCTGAGTTCAATGTCCGGATTGGCAAAAAAAAACAACCCAAAAAACAAAAAACACAGCTCTCTTTACCTTTTCCTTTTCATATCTCACTTTAAACAATATGGATGGCATCTGTGTAAATATTTTTAGTACCAAAAACATGCCCTGAAACAATAAGCTTATACATTTATTTCAGTTTGCTTGGAAATCTTATCTCAAATCAAAACTGTGTCTCTAATCTGACTTTCAACTCAAGCTCAGTGTTGTAAAACTCCCTTTTCTCCAATCTCACTCTCTTTGTAGAATGCCAACTATTGCATGCAAGCTGAGAAGTTGGACTGCTTCCTATCTTCTAAATTAGTGACAAGGATCCCAACCAACTCCGAGCCAGTGGATCCTGCTGTTTTCCCAGCCACAGGGCCGCGCCCAGCCCAGGGAGCCCTGGCAAAGTGGACACTGAGGGCTCAGACACTGAAGCACAGATGGCCCTGGATCCAGCCCTGCTTCTTCCTCCTGAAGGCACACCGCTGTGCTTGACGTCAGTACGTTTCCTGGAAACTGTCCTACACGGAAGGCTACTCGTAGACGCTGAATTTACAAGAAGGTATGTGGAGCTCTACCTGCCCATTAACTAAAGTACCTCTGGCAGGTTGTTGCCAGAGGGAGTGTGGACTCAAGGCCGCAAATCAGTTCTCAGGGAGAGGCCCTGGGAACCTCTTGTCTGCCAGCTCTCAATCCTCAGCCTGACCGAGAGCAGGAAGGGTCCTCCCTGGCTCCTTATCTGCCCGCAAAACAGAGGACATTGCTGACGTCCTGCTGTTCCGCAAGGGAATGCTCGGATCTGATCTGCCCGACACCAACCCCATCTCTTGTGTTTGCAGACAGCATACATAAAAAGAAGAAGAAGAAGGAGAAGAAGAAGAAGAAAAAAAAAGAGACTGTAATACATTTCACTACAGCATGAAGAAAATACTAAATCAAAGCCTAAGATGCAAAGCAGATTATTGTCAAAGACACCAACCGCGCTTCTCAAGAAGCAAGGTCAAAGGGGTATGCTAAAGAATTTTTTTTCCTAGGAAAACTGTGCAAGCCAGAGCGGCCTCACCGACTCTTAAACCAAATCTAATCCTTCATTTTGTGCCTTCCGACATTAATCAACATCCGACAACTATACAGCCGCCCCCCCTACGGAAACCCAAAATAAGTGAAATTGAAAACTAGATTTAAAAAAAAGAAAATCGCCAGGCAGCACCTCCCTGTCGGAGGGAGGCCCAGTGGAAAAGCCGAAAGGCTCCAGCCAGCCTGCGATCCCCAGCACCTGCGCGGCCCCACCCAGCTCTGCGCCCCGCGGCCTGCGCGCGGTGCGGCCCCAGCTCGGGCGCAAACCGGGAAACAAGCTCGGTGGACATAAATGGCCAGCGGCCCACGGAGGTCGTGTTGAGGCTGAGAGGACCGTCCGGGGCAGGGGCGCCCAGCCCCAGGACCCGAGACCTGCAGGACGCCCCCGCGCCGCGGACTGCCACCAGCGGGCCCCGCCGCCCTGCTCCCCACCCCGAGGACCCCCGCCGCCCGCCCGAGCCCCACCGTGCGAGGCGCCGCGGTCCCGGACGCACCGAGCCAGGCGCCGGCGAGCGCAGAGAGCCGGTCTGAGGGCGCGCACGTACCTGCCCGCCCGGCTGCTGGAGCGCCGGCCCGGAGGACGGCCGGCTGCAGCTCACCGAGGCTCCCCGCGAGCAGGCTCCGGCCGGCGTGGGCTCCGAGGCGGCAACGTCCGACAGCCCCGCTCAGCCATTGCAGTGGCGCTGCGGCGGGCGGGGGGCGCGCGTCACCGCGGGCGGGCGCCCCGAAAACCCGGCCCTCCCCGACCCTCCAGTCCTGGGGCCGCTCCCGCCCAGGGCGCGCGCGGGCTCAGCGACACCTGCCTTCTGTTTTATCTAGATTGTTCATCTTATTCTATAAGGAGCAGGTTTGTAATGTATTAAAATCAGAAATGACGCTCCTGAAGATAACCTGGCTGCTGCAGAGAAGTCTGCAGAGGGAGGGCAAGAGGCGAAAGCCAGCCACGTTTAACAGAGCGTTGCTCCCCGCCAAGACCACGGGCGTTCGAGGTGCCAGGCGCGAATTATTTAATCCCGGCAGGAATTACTCCCGTTTCAAGCCGGGTCTGAGCAGCCCTGAGAAGCGCGGGGAGCTAGCTGCACGTGTGTGCTCCAACCTTTAACTCTTGGTTTCCCATCTCCAAACGCTGCCTCCCGCAGCCCGGCTGCTAGAGAACGCTGCCCCGAGCCTTGCGGCCCAGAGTCGTGTCATGGAATCCGCAGTTTCCTCCTTCTCCCTTCTACTTGTGCTCTTTTTGGCTCTGCGCCTGTCAAGTAGGAAAATATTGGGGCCGGGGAGATAAGATAGCTCAGTAGAATAAGCACTTGTCTGGCAGGCACAAGGGCCTGAGTTCAATCCCTGGTTCCACAAA